AAATTATTTTGATCTCAGGAATATTAATGAAAAATATTTTCTAATTCAAAATTTTAATGATAAAAAATCATAATAAAACTAATTTAAAATTTGATTTTATTTTCAAGTGAATAACATTTAATTTAAAGGTGACACTGGTATTTTTTTTTTAAAAAATAAATCATTGAAAAGTTTTAAAAATATAAATGCATACATTACACTACCTAAATTTACAACAGAAGAGAATAAAGCAAGTAGAGTCTACATCAATGTTTAATAGTATACTTTTACTATTTAACATATTTTTAAATTATATAAATGTTTTAAAAATTACAATTTGAAATTCATTACACGATGTTTTCTCATCCTTTCTTTTTATATGCTGATAGAAATTGTGTTCCCCCCCCTACATATATATATATACACACCCCATTACTCTAACCTTATCTTTTTAATTGAACATTTTAAAATATTATTGAACTAATTTTAAAACTAACCAGTTTGAGAAAAAAGTATTCTAAATTAATGTATGCAAAATAAAATTTTAAGTAACTTCATTTTTGAAATATTTCTTTTATTAGATAATTTTAAACTTCATTAAGTAACTATACAATCACTTGGGTATTGATTTCCTCCTTACTTTAAAGTTTTCATAAAGGTTAATATATTTGTTTCTAAACAGAAGTTTTTGTAATTCATTATCTTTCCCAATTATATAAATACTTCTTCAGTTTTATATTTAGATGTTTGAATGTGCTTAAATAAAGTTTATATTAGGAGAAATACAATTTGAAAAAAATATTTATTATATACTTCATGATTTCATTGCAATTATAATGACATGCCCTAATATTTAAACTTATGCATATTGGGCTATTTAAAAGCTTTTTAGATTTAAAAAAGACAGCCTTGGAATTTAGAAGCCTTAGATTATAGATTTAATGAGAATTTCCTCTAGAAGTTCAGAATTGGCTAATAAAAATAAGATGCGAAACAACCATATGTGAATAATAAAATATTTGTTTGAATAAAAAAACATATTAGTTGAGAATAAATACTATACATCAAATTGGATCCTTTTGACTATTTTTGTAAAAAAAAGGAAGCTAAAAAAAGCATAGTATTTTGTAAAGCCTATACTTAAGGTTAAATTTGCATTTGTTGATTCTATCAGTACTGTGCCAAAAATAGAAAAGCTTATTTTATGGTGTAATCATTTCAATTTCTGCAACACTAATCATAAATCCATTTTCTATTTTTGAACAGATAAGTATATTGTGTGATTCAGGTAAAAGAAACCAATGATAGTTTCATAAATTTTTCATTTACTATTGTAAGTAAAACTTTTATCAATGTGCTACAATGTACTTTATTAAATTGTATGTTCTATATTAATAAATTATGCATATACTAAATTTTAAGAAATCCACATATTTATAATGAATCTTATTTGTCTTAAAGTTCCTGATATTTTTATCTGCTTATGAAAATTTTTTTGTTTCACATCTCTTATGTATGCTATTTGCTTATGTACCTTTTATGTACGTTTTTTACATTACATTTTTTTGTGTGTAAAATCAAAACTGCCAAAAAATGTGATGTTACATGCAAATATTGTAATTTTATAATATACGATAAATAAAAGCACTAAATAGAGCACTTAGTGTTTTTTCTCCCTTCAAACATTTTTTTTATGGAAAACAAAACAGTTTAGAAATTAAAACATTAATTATAAAATTATTTTATCAGATGCATTAATTCATAACATTCCATGCACATAATCATTTTTAGTTTAAAAAAATTTACTTTTAATGTAATTTGTGTAAACATTTAAAAAAATAAAATAGTAATGAAACAAATATATAATGTATCAAAACTTTTTAACTTCGAAGTACATAAACATAGTTTACTATTCCAATAAGAAATATTGGATACTGATACAAATAACATTAATATTTTAGTCATAGACCTATAAATTTTATTTTGTACTGGATTGACAGATTACATTTTTAACTTTAACATGTGAAAACTGTCATAGGTTTAATGGATTTTTTTACTGAACCTCTTCGAATATTTGGTCCGAGTCTACCAAACTCATATTTCCTACATAGATTTTTCATTAAGATTTCCATGAACTTAGGAAACAAGTAACCCTCAAAGTTATTAGTACCTAGGGATGATTGCTATTTTCTTAAACTGATATATTACACAATGCAGATCATTACTCAATATTCAAAACAGAATATATTGCTATTAAAGGCTTTGAAATCTGCTAAAATTTAATAAACCTTCAAATTTGGCTCTGGTTTTTTTATTGATATGAAAATAGTAAGTGTATTTGGCCTTTACATGCTGTAGTACATGAAGCTGATCACAAATATGTAATGAACATACTGCATACTCTCGATCCTTATATAATAAACAAAAACTTAGTATATAGTCCAGTCTTTAAAGGTTCCAATCTGATTTGGCTAGATTTGAGAGGAAAAAAACAGCTTTGTGCCAGTAATTTTTACATATTTAACAGCATACACATTTCTTAATTTTATATGAATTGACATCACTCTAGATCGTAGGATATGATCTTATGGGGGAAGAATCAGTCAAATAATAAAATTTGTATCCATTATAAATGAACTTCTCCTAAGGAGACATTAAAAACTCATATGAATTAGTCACATGGGCTATCAAAGATTAAATTCATATTTTAACAAGAATCAAGTGATGATGTGAGTGATTCCACTTAAATTATTAATGTAATTGTCGTATGAACTTTGAGGTCCATGTTTGATTTAACTTTACAGCTTCCTTAACACTATGTGAAATTAACATGGCCAAATTGAACCTTTTATCTCCTAAATTAAAAAAAAAGCTCTATGAATACTTTATAGAAGATTGATATGGATAGTTTCCTTAGTTCAGGTATATATATAAATTTGATTTTAATATTTACAAGTGATAATACTAAATATTTTTGGATGTTGTAAAATTTCAAACATATTTTACTAAAACCAAATAAGTGTAATATCATTTATTTGACAAATATATAAAATACAAAAAAGGACTAGCAGAATTGTGACAATTTGAATAAAACCAGACAGTATATATTTACAATAGCTGATGTGAGTGTATTATAGCAGCAAATAAATTTGAAAGAACTTTTTATTTACAAAGGTCATAAAATCTCAAAAATATATATAAATAAATGAATTCTGCTTTTAACACTCACTTTATCTTACAGAAAAGAAATTAAAATTCAGTTATAAATTAAAATACATTCAGCTGATATTCAAATTCATCCTTTACTCATTTTCTTTCAAATTCAGATAATGAATCATTACATTTTGCTCACAAACCAGCAAGGACGGAAGATGTGCACGTAATTGAAAGATTTTAATAAAAATTCTTTTATTGAAAGAAAAAAATTCAAATATGATTAATTAACTGTGAAATAAGTTTTATTAAAATTGAATCTTTTTTTTTATTCCAATTCACCTTTCCTACTTTCATTACAATTAATGTTAAATCATATCTACAGAAACAGGGATTTTTAATAGTAAAAACTATAATTTTTTATGATCTTTTGTTCCTGTTTCGTCATGAAGCACATTTTCTTCTTCAGAGTTCAAGTGAATTACAGCAACAGTACTATTCACTCGATTATTTGTAGTGTTCAATGGTGCAGGAACACCATAAGTTTCATTCCATTTGGGCTCTTTTTTCCATAGTGAATTGCGATCTAAGTCTTGGTCAACAACTAAAAATATTTCACGATCTTTTCCACGAATTTGTTCTCGTAGGTATGAAACAAGATCTAGCACCTGAAATTATATTTTTAAAAAAGAAAAATTTATTAAAAGCAACACATTTTATGTTTTATACTTTGATTATTTACAAAGGGATTTTAAAATTCCATGAAAGCTGAGTTTTAGAAAGAATTCATCTTACCTTACCAATGGCAACTGGATTCTCTAGCTTTGAATCCAAATTATAAAATGTACCATCGATTTCTTTTACAGCTATCCAATGTTTCCTGTTTAATCGCAAAGGTAAAAATTTCATTTCACTGGGTATGTTCAAGATCAAACCACAAATCTTGCTAAAATCAATATTACTTGGATCTCTAAATTAAAAAGAAAAAATACCAAAATTATAAACTTTTGCGAGCATTGTCATAGCGAAAAAAGAATTTATAAAAATTCAGATATGATTTAATTTATTATAATCAAAACTTAAATTAATAAATACGATATAAAACGGCATACTTAAAGATATCAAGACTAAGAAAAATAAATTTTTGATCTACCATTATTAATTATAAAAATACATGTATAACATATTGCACATTACACTTAATTCAGTTTAAAAAAAAACGAAATTAAAATTTGAAGAATTCATAATTTTAAAAAAGTAAAAAAATTTAAATCATTAAGTCTCAATATAATAAATCAAGAATTTTTTTTTATTCAATATTGTTTCATGATTTATTATACTATGAGGAAGCACAAGTATGAAGAAATAAAATAAATTTCAAAAAGATATTCAATTGCAAAAAAATGATATATAAAAACAATTCATTTTAAAAGGAAAGGAATGGTCATCTGAAATTGTACAGTATTATTGAATGAATAATCTAAATGAATCAATAGAACTTGACAGTAAGTATATATTTTGAAAATAAACTGCATAATATTTGGTTGGTAGAAATTAAAACATTTTAACTATAAAAGAATATATATATATATATATATAAATTATTTCATTTATTTTTAAAAAATTATTAAAAATATATTATTTTAACAAACACATATAGTACCCAGTGAGTGAGAGAATATTAACGTCACACTGTTTTAGCTACTTGAGGGCTTTTGATGACAGACGTCATAATTTTGAACCACGGTCAAGTGACGAGGACAACACCTGAGCTGGCACCCCCTCTCCTAACTACCACACCAATGGGAGGACGTTTGAGTTCACGGCAGATTTAATGTGCATCGCTCCCCTACACAGTGGGTCTTCTGTGGTACTAGGCTTGAACTCATGACACATCGACTACGAGTCCATTACCATGACCACTAGGCTACCGCGACCACCATATAGTACCCAGAGAAGCAACTGTTATTCATTCCATGACTAAACCTGTAAGTCAAAATGTTCGCATTTCAAATCAATTTTAACAATAGAAATTAAGAAAAACATGCCAACTCAATACCATTCACCATGCCCAACAATGGACTGAATGCAAATCTTTTTTCAAAAATTTCCAAATAACTTCCCACTGAATTTGAACAGCACTTGTGCTGAAATATCTGGGTCTGCTGCAAGGGTCTGGTCTGCTGACAATCTATGCAAATAGATTGTGCTTTCTTGCAAGTTGCTTCTGTCAACCACAGAAACAGAAAGTTCTGTCTTTTAATGGACAGACTTACTTAGATTTGAAATAATTTTAATTCCCTTAGCAAGAGTTAATGGCTTTTATATGAGTCCTTAACCCTTTAAGCAGTTTGCCCGTACAGTGTACGTGCTACCCGAAATTGGCCTCATCTGGTTTGATATTTTCTCCTTTCCTTTTCTGGTTTGCCCGCACTTTTCATTATTGAAAGAGACTATTTAGTATTATTTTTCAACAGATGGCGTGGCTTGTTCATGTAAATGAAATGCTTTTCATCTGGGTTTTTCTATGTGGAAGAGACAAATAAATATGCTAAACAGTGCATCCAATCCAGTGTTGCAATAAAATTCTCAAAGAGTAAATTTTGGGTAGAAATTACTGTGGAAGAGTTGCATGTATTTTTCGCTCTCAATATACTTCAAGGAATTGTAAAGAAACCTGGAATTGATCATTATTGGAGCAAAAGATATTCAACTAATACACCTTTTTTCTCTAAAATAATGTTTCATCGCCGATTCTGCCTTTTGCAACGCTACTTGCATTTTTCTGATAATGCAGCATTTGACCCACAAAATCACGAATGCCCAAAATTAGTAAAAGTTTGGCCAGTTCTGAAACATCTCAATGAGAAATTTAGTGAAACGGTGACACCAGAGCCAGATGTAACAGATGCAGAATGTACTTGAAAAAAGCAAATATTTATAGGGGGTTTTGTGTCAAAAATTGTAAAATAAAAAATGTTGTAAAAGCATTAAAAGAGAAAAAAAACAAAAAAAAAATACTTAATATTCTTATTCTATTAAGTATGGTTCTTAATTATATGCAATACAAAAATATGCCTTTTTTGGAAGCATTTCTGGTAAAATAATTGACTGCTTAAAGGGTTAAGCATCAGAGTGATACCTAGCCTAGACGTAATACAATCCTAGTGCTTTCTTCTATTACTCTTATTCCTTAGACATGTTTGTCAACTATTTCCTGCTATAATTCCATGGCTATCACAGCTTTCGCTTTCTTCAAAACTATTTTTATACTTATCTTCTGTAACTGATAGATTGTTCATTCATTTTACATTCTGAAACTATAAGAGATAATAATAATAACAGATTTGAAATTTTGAACTATGATAGGGCAACACCTGGACTGCCACCCCATACTTCAAATTTCTACAAAATGCCAATATGAAGACTTTGAACTTTAATAAACTTAATGTGCAGCAGCTATTTTACACTATAGGTCTTTAATGGCACCAGGATTAAATAGAATACTGGCCATGAGTTTGTGACCACAACCACTTAGTATAACATGAAGATAGTGATCATGGTAGCTAAGATTATAACTTAACACTAATGCTGTATAAATATTGTCCACTGATACCAAACATTAGTAAGACTCGCTTAACCTCACCTAAGTGTAAATGTATTCTCCCTCCTCACATCACAAGCATGCCCAGTTAAAAGAACAAAGCCTTGTATAGCAGGCAACCTAATTAAGTGCTGTCACTGAATTTTCAAATCAAGACAAATGGAGTTGGATAAAAATTGAATGAGCCAGAGGCAGTACAGCATAGTAATGTGCTTAAGGTTTACAACATGCTCGTCGAAAATTCTGCACAGCCCACTAAGTTCAGGGGGGTTTCAAACCTCTCCAACTGTCTCTCAAAGGTATTCAACTTTTTTTCCTGCCGAGCCACATGCATATGACAGGTATTTCACATGGGCCGTAATATAAGGACAATGGGGGGGAGACAAAGACCAAAGCAACGTTGGTCAAAATATTAAAATTCTTTTTTTTTGGTGTGTGTGTATTTGTTTTAATACTATATTAAACCTTCTATCAAACACACACACAAAATTACTTACTTTTATGCATTTTTCTACTAATTTATGGGGTAGTTTTGGTTTCCTTTCATCCACGACAAAGCCTCTTGTTTACACTCTACTAGTAAAAAAAAGCAAATTGATTACAAAATTGATAGATGCAATTGCTTGATTGATAGAATTTCTCACTAAATTTTTAGTATGTTGTTCTTAAATAATTCGATTTCTTAATTGTCACTAGGCCATACACAAAAGACTGGCAGGTCGCAGGTCAAGAATCTCTGATCTAACTGATTTTTAATTTCTACCATACAGATTATGTCTTACTGCTTTCATCTATGCTTTTTAAAAAATATAATCCCTCCCATGAAAGTAGTCTGTGTACATCACTGGCACTGCCTTAGAGATGGTTATAAGCAAGTTGAGTTGAGTTAATATTAACGTCGCACTGTTCAGCTACACGAGGGCTTTTGGCGACGGACCACGTAATTTTGAACCATGGTCAAGTGACGTGGACGACACCTGAGCTGGCACCCCCCTCTCCTAACTACCACACCACACCAACGGGAGGACGTTTCAGCTCTCGACAGATTTAACGTGCATCGCTGCCCTACACGGCGGGTCTTTAGTGGTACTTGGATCGAACTCATGACATGCCTGCCATGGTTGGATACCTTAACCACTGGGCTACCGCAGCCCTATGGTTATAAGCAAAGTAGGGATGCTAAAATGTATCAGATATGCATTGATTGACACCATGAAATTCATGAGCTAGCTTAAGAGACAAAATCAGTGCATGACTATGCTTCACATTCTGAAGGAAAGTTTAGGTAAGAGAAAAGTTATATCACAGTGGATTCCACACAATTTGACAAAAATACAGAAATGGTTACAATACAAATATATATGGTAAAATCCTAGGAGAGCCCACACCCTTGGCGACAAACCGAAAAATGCGCCAAGCCAGAACAAGATGGCGCCAAGTGAAACCGACAATGGCGGCAAGGGAATATAGCGGGATAAGGTGGATGCGTAATGAAAATATATGTAAACAATACAGAAATTAAACATTTAATATAAAAAATATAAAAACAGCACTTACTTTCTTACTGCTGATCTTTTCCAAGTGGAGGGTACAGTGTAACAACAGATTTTTAAAAAGCCTTAAAGGTCTCATCGCTAAGCGAATGATCGTGTGAGCGCCGCCCTATTTATTCTGCGGGGTAATGGTCGAACATACATTTGGCGTGGATGGTACGATTTCGAAGAAAGCGTTTTATTGCCGACCATGTTACATCATGCCGATCATTACATTTAGGACATTCATAATTCGAAGCAATCAATCCTTCCTTCATACACCATTCAATCAATTCTTTCTTACCTTTCGCATTCAACAAAGTAAAAAATTCTAAAGTATATTCCCTCACACATGCAGCCAGCCCGGAGTCCAACAACAAAATGAAATTCGAAATGCGCGCCCTCAAAATATGAAAATGCTATAAATAGTTAGGGTTGCCATACGTAGTATTTAAAAAAGTAGGGTTACCAAGATGGCGCAATTATCGCTAACCAAAGTAATTCGCGCCAAGGGCTCTCCTAGGAGTGAACCTTTAAACTTTTATAACTTGTATAAATTTAATACTGCAATATCAAGTCCATAGCATATTTCATTTCTAAATTACATTGACAGAAGTCTTTATAAATATCACCTAGGACCACTTTCATAAGGAAGCATTAAATATAAAAAATATATTAAAAATAAAAAAGTCTTACTTTCTTTTATCAAACCACATTGCTTCATAGCCTTTTAATTGCAAAGCTGCCATTAGAACATTTACATCATAGTTGCCAAGCCCAAGCAAACTTTTGTGAGGATTTACCAAATTATCAGGAGATAAACTGAAACAAACGTAATTAAATATATTTGATAATTCATAGTGAAATATTCATGAATTCTAGCATATTTTCGAAAAAGAGAAAAAAGACGCTAACATACCTATGACAAATATTATCCAAGATTTGCTTGTTAAAGGCATTTTTGTCTTGAAATAGATTATTCAAGGCATGAAGAGCACAGAGTTCTTTTACTTGTTTCTCATGATAAATGTTGCGCTCACCCTTCGAACCATTTTTGTTAAGTGACTTGCGATCACGACCAAACCAATTTTCCACAAAATGCAAGCAAGAACTGTGCATGGATGCAAAACTTGACACAATTATCTACATACAAAAATAAATTTTAGAATTTCAGGAAACAAATTTAACTTTAATTGGTACTTACATATTAATGTCATCACAGCCAAATGTGCACCATGTGAATCCCACCATTTTGCATCAAAATCTCAGATTGATTTTTTAAAAATAAAACACAAAAGAATCTTTTTGTTGCTTTGATATCATGGTGCAATTTTTGCTAGTGACTCTAATATGTTAGGAACTTATAAACTTTACATTCTGTTTACATAAAAAGCAGACAGAAATCCCAAATTTCTAAAACAAAATGAATAATACTCATCAGTGTGATATTCCTTCAACACATGCATACTGGAATGTTATATTAATAATGATTAGAAGATTTTACAAAATAAATACATTAAATATTTTTGCATAACAAAAACATATATACTATATTTTAATATTTGGTTGAATTTTATTTTGGTCCAGCGCTTGGCACTAGAAAAAAAATAGTGTCAAAACTACAACAAATATTTCCAATTGACAATTTTATTCCAAAGAAAAAAAACCGTCTTTAAAACAAAGTTTTTTATGCTTCATTATTTCAAGGAAAACTTATTTAATAGCAAAGTAGAGTTCTGAAAATTCAGCCCAGGCGTGGATTGAAGGGCAGCTAAGTTTGCGAAAATGCTGGATTC